GATGGAAAGAACAAGAAAACTGGGGTCAGGCAGACCCATCTACTAGCATACTGTGTGATACTGGGCATATTACTTAACTTCTCTGAACCTGTTTCCTCATCTGTAAAAAAAGAAGAAAAATATCTACCTCACGGAATTGCTGTGGAAACTGAAGAAGACACAGTACAGAGTAACCAGCATGGTGCTGCTGGCCATCTTCTGGAAGGGTACTCTGGTCCACCACTAACAAGGAAAGCACTGTGCAGGGGGGTCTGCACTTACAACAGGAACCCCAACTATGGCATCCCATTCACAACCTGCTGGACACTAGTGACTCATTAGGTCCTCACCCAGGCATGCAATTATAAGCTGTCCCTCTGGAACATCGTATAGCTTTAATCACTCTAAGAGATAATGAATCTAGGATGTTTCCAAGAGCATCCTCAGTTATGGTTCTCTTTAGATACCTGCAATCCAATACCTTCCAAATAAGTAATCCTCTTAGGCCAGGTCATGAGACCCATTGGCATCTCTGTCTCTGGGACATTTTACAAGTCCCTCTTCAAAAACACGAAAAAGACTTGATGGTAGTAACCCAGTAAGTAACATGGGAACCCGTGTAGAGCTACCAGTGCATTTCTCTCTGCCCAGAGGACTCTAAACATATCCCCTTCTGCAACAAGAGGTAAATCTCTGTGGGCTGCCGGACTTACAAGCCAGGTCAAAATGCAGTGTCTGGCCACCTTCCTCTCACTCATTATGACCTAGCCACCTTGGCCTCTGCTCAGCTCCTCAAACAAGGGAACCGATCTTTCCTTTCCCTGGAACCTTTGCACTAGAGATTTCCTCCACCTGGTCCACTTTGGTGTCAGATCCTCATGTGTTCATTCCTCTTTGTCATTCAGAAAGCAGCTGCATTTTACCTCCCACTGAGTCTCATCCACCCAGTCTTAAAGTAGCCCCTTGTCCAGCCCCATCCCCCGCCACACACACCACTAATTACTCACTCTCCCTTCCATCACGGCTCTACTTTCTACAGAACACTTACCATCTCTGAGATTATCTTGCTCACTTATTTGTTTACGTGCCTATTGTCTGCCTGCCCTTCTTGAACCTAAATCCCACAAAACAGTCACCCTTCCTGTTCTATTCATGGCTATATACCTTATGCCTGGAATAGCACCTGGTCCAGAGGAGGTTTTAAACAAATATCTGCTGAATGAAGGAATGAAGGTATCTGTGACCAAACCATTAGAGGAAGAAGTAAAAGGCCTCAGTTTCAGGTGTGAGACTTGCAGAACAACCAGAAGACCAGCAACGAGGGCAATGATGCTTGTGAGTGCCCCTCCACAAGGCTCACGTCCACCAGGGCTCAAAGTCCAAGCATCTTCTCTCAGGGCCACCAGGTCTCTCCACAGTCCCACACACTCCCTGGCAAACCCCCCCCCCCCCCCGGACTCAGGGCTTGCCACAGACAGTTAGAAGGTACTTCTGTGCTCCCTCCGCTGAGATATCACTAGACCACAGTCCAGGGAGAGATTCTGTGGCTTCACACCCAGTCCAATGCTTTGGAGCCGGGGACCTCAGCATAACTTCCAATATGGGCTATGTGAATGGAGGGCCTTCTCAGGAAATATGGGTTTCCCCTCCTCCTCCCCAGTTAAAGCAACAAAGAGTTCACCTCCTCTGGGCTGCTGGATAGGTGTTCCAAGACACCCCCACTTTAGTAGGTGCCCTACCCAGAGCATTCACCCAGGCCAGATCCTGCACTTTGGCACTGATGGTCAAGGGAAACCTATTCTCAGAACTGACTGGCTCCACTGTGGCAATGGAGGCTGAGCTGGGCTCTACAGCCCCCAAATCCTCTACTAAGCCAGCTAGGGAAGGGGCCCAAGTCAGCTATGGATGTTCAACTAAACTGAGTCCCTCAAAGAGGCTATCCGGGGACCACTTGGCCTCCTGGAACAGGAAGGCTCGAAGTGTGACAGGTGAAGGGCAGGCTTTCTGCAGAGAGAACAGCACAGGGAGGAGTCTGGAGAAGAGATGTACGAGCCACTAAAACTGAGGGGTCTCTGCCCAGAGACTTCCCCACCTCTGCCTGACACACGTCCCCTTCTACCCCACCCTCTTGGAGCTGTTTCATTTCCTTTCAGAAAACTTTGTTTTGGTTTGATATTTGCCTCTAGGCCTCTGGGAGACTTTTCTGAGCTTTGTTTTTCTTCTTGTTTCTAGGATACCTGAGCTGCTCCTAGAGCAACAAGCACAGTAGGAACTAGAGAGTGGGGGGTGCAGTCAGGATCACCAGATAGGAAAAGAAGAAGGAAAGAGGGAGGAAAGTGTCTGCTTGGCTCACATATACTTTGGTGGCTCCCAGACACCCCAGAGGAGCAACAGGGAGCTCTAGCACAAAGCAAAATGAAAACATTCAGAAAGAGGCCATTTGCAAAGAGAGAACTTGAAGTTCTAGGAATGTAAAAGATCAGGGAGAAGACCATGGCACTGCCCAGGGCTGGCCCAAGTTGAGCACACTGAGGGAACCTACTAGATGTCACAGAAGAGAAGCTTCCATATACCACCTGGAAGGCTAATGACGGCCAGGTACACATGCCAGGCTGGGACCTGCCCACAACAGAAGCACACATCCTTAAAGGCACCAGGCCTGGGGTCAGGGGCATGGAGGAAAGAGGTGGGGAGCAGGGGCCCACAATCCCTAGGGCAGGCACACTAGGCTCAGCACGTACCAAGCAGCAGCCCGAGTCTTTCCTGCCCACCTCATACCCAGCCCCAGCCCCAGCCCCAACAAGAAGGAACCCGGCTTTCCCAGGCAGGGGCAGGCACGAGTGGAATTCCCCTGAGGCAGGCTGCACAGGGTAGGCAGCAACAGAGGTCATTCATCAACTTGATTCTGGAGGGGGAGAAGAAGGCCTGCTCAGCCTCTACAGAGTAAAGCCAGTGTAGCTCCCATAGCACCCCCACCGCATGCATCAAATGCCAAAGGGCTGCTCAGGAGAGACACTGGCCTGAGGACCCAGGGACAGATGTTTCCCTGGCACAGACTGACATGCCCATAAACTGGGCTCTTCTCATTCGTATGGCAGGTAGATGGCTACACAAAAAGCAGCTTTTTAAAAATACGCAGAAAGTTAGATCTCCCCCAACCCCATGCCATTTTAAGATTAAGAGCTCTGTAGTCAGACTACTTGGGTTGAAATCCCAGTACAGACACTCACTAGCTGTGTGACCTCGAGCAAACTGCTTAACCTCTCTGTTCCTTAGTTTTCTTCTCTAAATGGGATAACAGTAGTACCAACTTTACAGGGTTGCTCTGAGTATTACATAAAATTATTCCTTGCAAAGTGTTTAACAAAGTGTCTGGCACAGAATAAGTTCTTCTTTTTTTTTTTTAATATTTATTTATTTTTGAGAGAGAGACAGAGCGTGAACTGGAGAGGGGTAGATAAAGAGGGAAACACACAATCTGAAGCAGGCTCCAGGCTCTGAGCTGTCAGCACAGAGGCCGACGTGGGGCTCGAACTCGCAAACCATGAGATCATGACCTGAGCCAAAGTTGGACACTTAACTGGCTGAGCCACCCAAGCACCCTCAGAATAAGTTCTTGATAAAGGTAGATTTTGGATGGAATGATAAAACTAATAAAATCATATACTGGTACAAAAATTACAAGAGTTGCTGTGGAAATCACACGGGGAAACTTGGCATTCCCAAGTTGACAGTGGGGAAAGAAAGGTAGAGAACTATGGGCTTCCCATTTTTGTGCTCCCATACCCTGCTGGGAGGTACAAAGGTTGACAGAGAGACCCAGAAGCAGCAATGGCACCAAGCCTCCAAAAGAAACACTTCTGCAAAAGCCTAAAGAAACTATGGCTGGGGGGGTTCCCACCTGCAGAAGCAGAGAAATACAAAGGCAGCAAGGGAAAGAACACCAGTCCCAGAATCCTACCTTTCTTTCTTTTTTTTTTTTTTTTAATGTTTATTTCTTTTTGAGAGAGAGAGTGCAAGCAAGGGAGGGGGTGGAGAGAGAGAGAGGAGGGGGGACAGAGGATCTGAAGCGGGCTCTATGCTATTAGCACAGAGCCCAATGTGGGACTCAAACTCATGAGCCATGAAATCATGACCTGAGCCAAAGCCAAAATGCTTAACCAACTGAGTCACCCAGGTGCCCCAAACCCTACCTCTCTCCCATGGCACTGACATCTCTCCAAGTGATGAGAATAGGCAAATGTTCAGAGCAGCATTTTTCATAAAATAGCCAGAAAGTCAAAACAACCCAAATGCGCATCAACTGATGAACAGATAAAATGTGGGACATCCATACAATGGAATGTTATTCGGCCATAAAAAGACACAAAGTACTGATACCTGCCATGACATGTATAAACATTAAAAACATTATGCTAAATGAAAAAAGTCACACAAGGCCAAATATTTTTATATGGGATGATTCCATTTATATGAAATGTCCCGAACAGGAAAATCTATAGAGACAGAAAGTAGGTCAGTGGTTGCCTAGGGCTGTGGGTTTTGGGGGGAAATGGAGAGTGAGTGTCAATAAATATGGAGTTTCTTTTCGGGGTGATGAAAATATTCTAAAATTGACTGTGGTGATGGTTGCACAACTCTGTGGATATGCTAAAAAAAAAAAAAAACAACCACTAAATTCTACACTTTAAATGAGCAAACTGTGTGCTATACTACAACTCAATAAAGCTCTTTTCAAAGGTGACCAGAAAGTAGATATTAAAAATGATGTTGGGAACTGCATGTAATATAAAGTGTGAATCTGTATATGTGGGTGGATGGCCAAAAAGCACGACGGGATGGCAACAAGGGCAACATTCGACAGAGAGCCTTTACCTGGTCCTGCAACTCCTTTACCAAAATGGTACCAAAACATTAACCAGGATACATCTCCCAAAAGATACCAAAACCCCCTGCCCACCCCCACTGGTTTAGCAGGGCTATAAACGCCCATGCAGGAAGACCTCTTCCACGGTACTTACCCAGCTGGGTAGGCAACTAAACCAGATCGGGGGTCGCAGGCAAGTCCTCTGCCTCCAGACACTGTTATCCCAAGCACCTTCTCCAAGGTCACCTGTTAGAGCAAGACAAAAAAAGTGACATATGGAGAGAGCTGGGTTGGGAAGAAGGTATTGAAGGTACCCGCAACCATCCAGCAAATGCTGACTGCTCTTCAGGAGAATGGGGCCACTGACTTCTCCAGGTTCTGTTCTGGCCAAAGGCCCCTTGGACACATGGGGAATAGACAGTGTGTACTGCAGGCTTTTAAGAGGGCTCAGTCTTATGGGGACCACGGGAAAGAAAATGAAGTGTGAAAGCTCAGCTCATGGCCACAGAGGAACAAGCACTCCCCCAATCCACGAAGGCTCCATTTACAAGATAAAGCCTTAGATCCTTATATTGGCCTCTTCTGTCTATAAGATTCAGGTAAGGTCACTAATCTTCGTGCCTTGGCAGGCATGAAAGAAAGGCTACTCTGATCTACCAAGAGTCAGAAGAATGTTAGGTAGCAATTAGGTAACTCATAAGATCCCTGATCTTTGCATCCCATCACGTTCTTACTTCCATCAGAGAACTCCACCTCCCCCCACAAACATCTGCCAGTTCACTCAAACTAGGAGCCTGGGAGACAGAAACATGGCTTAATGCTGTGTTTTACAAAGCACAGATGCTCAGAGTGCTCTAATTATTGTTATTAAACCACAACTCCCACAGAGATGATAGGGAAATATGTGTAAAGTGCTCAGAGATTCTGAGAGGACATGGCCACGTGAGACATTCACTATCACTCTCACCATCAATATTGTTACCCCACACCAGCTGCAGCCCCAGAGCACACACTGGACTAACCTCAATTAGTTCACTGGCCTTTCTGCTAGATGACCTATGGGAGATTCCGGAGTCTCTTCTCACCCCCCCCCCCCCACCCCCACCACTCTCTCCTACAGAACATCTTGTTTGTCATTCCAGGTCCAGTATTCTCTAGTACTGTCTGGACTCCCTGCACTGGCCCTCCCCAGAGATGTCCTTGGTCTCTCCACTGGCTCAGAGAGATAGGCATCTGAATGTGGAAAGGTCATGTAAACAGGCCAGACTGTACTCTACTAAGAGTGCTGGAGGCCCTAGGTGGTGTGAACCAGAAACATGTCAGAGGTGTTCATGTCTATAGCAGGCTAGTCTACTCCTAGTCCAGGCCAGTTTCTAGAGAGGAGAAACCCAGAATCAATTAGGGTGGTTTTAGGATCTCTCCTCCTTTCTTATTGTCCCAGCTGGAAAATTCAAAGTTCTTCTAGAGGGATGGCTTAAACTCTTATCTCCAAGGACCATTTTAGTTTGACTTAATTGGAAAGAAATGCCCTGTGGTGGCCAAAGACCAAAATAAGTCTCCTAGGACATTACAGTTAAAACCTATTCCCCAGGAAGGTCCCCAAGAGTCCTCTGTGCTTCCTGGGGATGTGGACCAGCAATTCCAACACGTGTCTACTCACTGACAGAGGCAGTTTATTCCCAGGGCCCCATACCAACCCACCTGGCAAGCACCACACTTGCCAGTTACCCTGGGCCTACCTGAGGCACTAAACCTAGCATAGGATAAACTGACTGTCCCCTACTCTCTGTGTTCTTGGTTGTTCACCCTAACTTATGCCTCCTTCCTCACTTTTTCTCAGTCTCATGATGCCCTAGCACCCAGTCACCCTCTGAAAGGCCTGAGCAGCAGGCAGTCTGACTGGAGAGCACAAATACCCCTGGGGAAGTCCAGGGGACACTCAGCTCAGCACACCACTCCCCATCTTGGCACTGTGCCTCCAGCTAATCCAGAGGGAGGGGTGCTCAGAACATTCCTGCTGTACCAACTGCCTACGAGAGAGAAAGAAGAGAAGAGAGAGAGGAACCCAAGGCCAGCATTACCCACAGAGATGGGAAAGGTCACAGGATCAAGTGCAGTGAACTAAAAGGCTGCTCAACTCCTATTCTCTTCCAGTGTGAATCATTTCAGGCAAATCCTTTGGATCCAAATTTGCATCAATCCTTCCTTTATGCCTCAGCTTTGGTCCCAAAGAATCAGACCAGTCTGCTGGTTCTCAGCTTTCCTTCCCTCTGACAGGAATTTGGGTAGGTGTTTTGTGGGCTGATGATCCAGCTCCACAGAAGATTCATTCTGAAACTAGCCTGGGCTTTCAAAATCAAGCTAAAGCAGAAAGGAGATATGAGTTACTCACACCTTTAAGACCAGTGTTGGTCAAACATTTCTGGCCATGAGCCATGGTAAGAGAGACAGTTTATGTTATGGCCCAGTATACAGATACAAATACATGTGTGCATGTGCATAAAAATGAAATCAAGGTTTCACAAAATAATACTTATTCTTGCTGCAGGTGATATACCCTGTTTTCTATTACATTCTATTTCATTAAAAAAATTATTCTGGTCATGGCCCACTTTATTGATTTCATGACCTACAAATGGGCTGGAAGCTCCAGTTGGAGAAACCCTGCTACAGACCATCTTTTCCTACTGGGCCTGGGCTCCAGGCTCTGATCTCTGGCAACCGTGTGTTCCTCATGCACTTCCCTCCTAGGACTCCTGGCGGTGGGACAGACATCCGGGCTAGGAAACCCCATGGGCAGGAGTTTGCCTGGGCTCAAAACTTGGATTATTTTCAAAGGATTTATGGTTTTTGGCTTTTTATGACTTTCTGAACAACTATCCAAAAACAAAAAGGCAGTTTCCTTTGGCTCTGTGGAGTGGGAGGAGCAGGGGAAAAACATTCAGGGGCATCAGCTGGTTTTTATTTTATGTTCTAACTCAAACCAGCTTCCTGTTTGCAGGGAGGTTTTGGGCTGAACTCCACTTTCAAAGGATTTCAGAGAGTCCAAAGATCCAGCAGGGCCTCCAACATCTAGGCTTATTTTGAAAGGCCCCAGCACGATGGAAATTGTAAATGGACTGTCTCCCTGTCATAACCTCCATATCCTCTCCTTCCAGAAAGGTGGCACAGCTCCCATCTACCATAAAAAATGGAGCCAGACCTGAGTGCCCCCTGCAAACACAACACCAGCTAACCACACCCAAGTTCAAGCCAGCTTCCAGTGGCTCACGACAGCTGATGGTGCCCTTCCTTTCCCACCTCCTCTTTCAGAGACAGCACATTGGTAGCTTGAAATCACCACAGTGGGAGAACTTACACCGTGAAAATCAGCAAATGCTACAAATCAGGGCTCTTTTTTGTCCCCTCAGAGAGCCTATAAATATTCAATAATATACCACCAAGTTCAGGTCACTACTATCTCGCACTTGGGCTACAGCTATAATTCCCATGTGTTTTCTCCACTTCAGGCCTTACCCCCTAGAGTCTTCTCAACATGGCAGGCCACAGTGATTCTTTTTAAATATATGAGATCTTGTCATTACTCAGCTCAAAGCCCATGGGCTTCTCCTCCTAAAGTTCAAATTCAAATACTTTTACTCTTTTTATAAGACCCTAAATCATCAGGCCTCTGGCTCCCTGTCTGACTTCATTTCCAACACTCTCTCCCTGTTCCTCTACCTCAGCCACCCTGGCTGCCTCAAGAACCTCAAGCAGATTCTAGCTTCAGGTCCTGCATATGCTTTTCCCTCAATTAAAATGGCTCTTCCCTCAGCTTTCACAAGGCTAATTCACTCAGGTCTTTGCTCAAAGGTCTTCTCCTCAGAGACAACTTTCCAAACTAGCTTTACTGTTCTCTCTCTATACCTAACTTACCCTGTTTTATCTTCTTCATACCACTTAGATTCAGATAGAGACCCAACACTGACTATATTTCTGTCCACATACTTACTGTCTGGCTTACTATTCAGATGACAATGAGCACAAAGGGAGCTTAATGGTACAGGTAATATTTCATTTCTTAAGCTTAGGATGGGTACACAGTTATTCATTCTATTATTCCACATGTCTTTATTATATGTCTTAAATATTGCATAGTAAAATTTTAAGGAGACTTTTTTTTAATGTTTATTCATTTTTTTTGAGAGAGAGAGAGAGCGAGAGAGCGAGAGAGAATCTGAAGCAGACTCCAGGCTCTGAGCTCTCAGCACAGAGCCTGATGTGGGACTCCAACACACAAACCATGAGATCATGACCTGAGCCGAAGTCGGATGCTTAACCGACTGAGCCACCCAGGTGCCCCGCATAGTAAATGTTAAAAAGAGAGAAAATATATGGTCTAGGACAGGACATGGGGCTCAGTATCTCATGAGTACTATAATTCATACCCTGGCTTCTCTCCTCATCCTTAAGCAATAGCATTTTGAGACTTACCCAACAATGTTGGGGGAAAGGGTACAGAGAACTCAAGAATGTGAGTTTTTGTTTGTTTTAGGTTTCTTACTTAAGTGCTTCTAGGACTGCACATTTTTATGATGCTCTGAAATGCTACTTCCAGAAGAAGCTTTCAAGAACCACTGTGCGTACCCAACTCCTGACTGCAAAGCATGGTGGCAGATGATGAGCGAGGGCCCCCTCAGCCTGGGGCCCTGAGTGACTTCAATGAACAGTCCCTGTGCTGACCCACACTGAATACGAGCATGAGCAAGAAATGAACTATTTGTTAAGTCAGGGAGATTTTGAGGTGATTTTGTTACCACAGAATGACATAGCCTGGCAATTTTCATACTTTTTGGTCTCTTACACCCTTTGGTTTCTTTATACGCTTCGAAATTATCAAATATCCCAAAGAGCTTTTGTTAGTATCAGTATATTAGAAATTACAATGGAAAATTTTTTTCTTCCTTAAATAGTTTATTGTCAAGTTGGTTTCCATATAACACTCAGTGCTCATCCCAACAAGTGCCCTGCTCCATGTCCATCACACCCCTTCCCTTCTCCCCACCCCCATCAGCCCTCGGTTTGTTCTCAGCATTCAAGAGTCTCTCATGGCTTGCCTCCCTCCCCCCAACTATTTTTCTCCTTCTTCTCCCGCATTGTCCTCCGTTAAGTTCCTCCTAATCCACCTATACGTGGAAACATATGGTATCTGTCCTTCTCTGCCTGACTTATTTCACTCAGCATAACACCCTCAAGTTCCATCCATG